ATTCTCCTTTTTAGTGGGGTCTTTGTCTGGTTTTGGGATCAAGGTAGTGGCCTCATAGAATGAGTTTGGAAGTTCCTTCTATTTCTGTTTTTTGGAATAGTTTCAGGAGAATAGGTATTAATTTGTCTTTAAATGTTTGGTTGATTTCCCCTGGGAAGCCATTTGGCCCTGGACTCTTGTTTGTTGGGAGATTTTTGTTTACTGATTCAATGTCTTTGCTGGTTATGGGTCTATGCAGTTTTTCTATTTTTTCCTGCTTCAGTTTTGGTAATTTATATGTCTCTAGGAATGCATCTATTTCTTCCAGATAGCCCAATTTGTTGACATTTAATTGCTCATAATAATCTCTTAATTGTTTGTATTTCTGTGGTGTTGGTTGAGATCTCTCCTCTTTCATTCACGATTTTATTAATTTGGGTTCTTTCTCTTTTCTTTTTGGTAAGTCTGGCTAGGGGTTTATCAATCTTACTAATTCTCTCAAAGAACCAACTCCTAGTTTCATTGTTCTGTTCTGTTTTTAAAATTAATTTCTGTATCATTGGTTTCTGCTCTAATCTTTATTTACTCCTGCTGAATTTAGGCTTTATTTGCTATTATTTATCCAGCTCCTTTAGGTGTAAGGTTAGGTTGTATATTTGAGACTTTTCTTGCTTCTTGAGGAAGGCCTGTATTGCTATGTACTTTTCTCTTAAGACTGCCTTTGCTGCATCCCAAAGGTTTTGGACTGTTGCGTTTTCATTTTCATTTGCTTCCATATATTTTTTAAATTCTTCTTTAATTTCCCATTTGACTCATTCATTCTTTAGTAGGATGTTCTTTAAACTCCATATGTATTTTTTCTTTTAAAATTTTTTCTCAAATGGCCTGGTGTTGATTTCTATTTCTTCATGTTTACATACCCAGGTACCTGAAAGTAAAACTCAACCTCCCAGGAAGTAAGTACTAAGAGAATAGAGGTATAATATCTGGCAACTCAGATGCTGACCTATACAATTTGTAGATAATAAGAAATCTCTAGGTCCTCAAGGTTTTAGCATGAACTCTCTTTTAAACTCCTATCTTCATGGGCGGTAGTGTTACTAAATTTGCAGGTATGTAAAGTTGTTGGTCTCAGGTTCTTAAAAGACCTTTGAGTAAATGTAACTGTTCTTATCCCAGGACTGACATTTTGACTATTTTTACATAACCACCAACCGATCAAGTACCACTGAAGTTGTATGATAGCATTTCAGCCAGGTTTTATTGTATTGTATTGTGACTTGGTAGCTCCAAATACCTCCTAATAATTTTTTGGCCTATACCCAGGTAGTTTCCTTTTCACATGAAATACAGATTAAGAATTCATGTTATGATGAGGGTAGGACACTTTAGTTTAATTATTCAGGATTTGGCGTGAATGAATACTGATTTATGTTCTGGGGGTAATAACACCACTACAGAAATGTTGTCTACAACATTGTATCACCCATCTTTAATTAAGTTTAATCTGTTGCTTTTACTGCAGGGTAAGCTACATGAAAACAGGGACTTTAGCTTGGTCTCTGCTGTGTCCTTAGTGCCTACTACAAGGTTGGGCACACATTAGCATTCAGTATTTGTTGGATGAAAATATGATGGTGTCTGTTTTGAAATAAATGATTATTTTAGGCTGCAAGGTTTTTTTCCTTTTTTTTTTTTTTGCTGTAGGTTTAGAAAACCATTCAACCCAGTTTAAGTAATAAACTGTCTTTTCGCTTAACAGCCTTGGATTAGGGAGGGTTTCCTGGTCAGTGATAGGTGCTGTTAGCCCTCTAGTCAGCGGCACTTGGCTTAGTCCCTTTTAGTCAGCAGTGAGCAGCATGTATGTGCACTTAGAAAAAGGGGAGAGACTGCCTTTCTGTTTCTAGTTTACCTGAGTGTGTGGGAGAAAAATGGGGAAAGATGAAAAACTTACTTCCTTTCATGGAGAGGACAGACAGCATGAGTTGGCAGAAATCACAAGGACATTAAGAACATTTAATATACGAGATTTGGGAGATGCTGGAGTATAGGATGAACCAAGCTTGTGTAGCTTATTTTGTAAAGGTTTGGAGAATGGTGAGAATTTAGTCAGACATGGGAAAAATTAAAGGTGGGGGGACTGATTTGTTCTTATCAGGTGCCCACTTAGGCTTTTCTTCCATTTTGCTAACCTTCCAGCCCTTAAAGAGATACCTAAAAATGCTAAAGTAGAAAACAAAAATGGTCCAAATAAATTCTCCTAGTGAGATCTATTTTTTTTAAAAAAAGATTTTGTTTATCTATTTGAGAGAGAGACACAGCACAAGCAGATTCCCCACTGAGTGGGGAGCCTGACTTGGGGCTTGATTCCAGGACCCCAAAATCATGACCTGAGCTGAAGTCAGATGCTTAACTGACTGAGCCTCTCAGGCATCCCTATTTTTTTTAATTCCAAAAAAAATTTTTAAGTTATCTCTATGCCCAAAATGGGACTCAAACTCAAAACCCTGAGATCAAGTATCGCATGTTTTGCCAACTGAGCCCACCAGGAGCCCCTAAAATCTGTTGATGAAAGAAAAAGGATATAATACATGGAAATTGTTAAAAAATTAAGTATTAATAGAAAGGTGTAATAGGACTGAATAGTCACTTTTTCTTCTTTTTTTCGAAAAATTTATTTACTTTAGAGAGCACTCGTGTGTGCAAAGGGAGGGTGGGTAGTGAGAGTTACAAGCAGACTCCTCACCGCATATGGAGCCTGATGTGGGGTTCCATGTCACAACCCTGAGCTCACTCATTGAGCCGAAACCAAGAGTCGGATGCTCAACCAACCGTGCGACCCAGGTGCCCCTAGTCACCTTCCTTTCTGATACATACACAGCATTGCCTCATTTCTTCTCCTCAGAGATACACGTGGCTAAGAGTTTCTGTGATTCCTTCCCCAAAACAATTGTGCAGATATCAGCACACATTGTTCTACCTCCTTTTTTCATATCTGCATAATGATCGGTCATGTGTAGAGGTACCCTTTGAGCCATTTTCTGAAGTGGATTGCTTTGGAAGGGGCTAGTGTTTTGCAGTATAAGCAACATTGCCATATATACATTGCCAATATACAGATTTGTTGGTAGACCTCTGCACATCTGTCAGTGAAGCATAATCCTAGTAATCGTGAAATTTCTGGGTCACAGTTTATGAACGTTTAAAATTTTGATGGATGTCAAATCTTCTTCCCAGAGGTTTGCACCAGTTTTCACTCTTGCCATCTTGCTTACTCCTTTCTGGGTATCATAGTTTTCTTCATTTGTGCCTATCTGATAGGCAATATTGTGACTTGTGTTTTGAATTTTGTCTTTAGCATTAAGAGAGAAATTGAATATCTTACAAATTTATTGCTCATTAAGGTTCCTTTTCTTGTAAACTGCCGGGTGATTGTCATTTCTGTTATGTGTGAGCTATGGACGTGAAGGAAATTAGCTCTTTGCTGCCATATAGTTGTAAATGTTTTTTCTTAATCTTTTGTCTTTTTGACTTGTTTTTCCACTCAGATTTTTATTTTTATGGAGTTAAATTTATCACACTCTTTCTTGACTTCTTGAATTCTGTTCTGACCAGCCACTTGGCTTGTTGACACTAGTGCACATCTGACTGCGCTTTGTGAATTCAACTGGTCACACCAGGAATAAAGCTGAAGCAGTGGACCCCAGAGCCCCAGGACACTGGGCATGTTTGGAGAAGCCACAAATCCTTGACAGAGCTAAATCTTAGTGTTTCTGGGGAGCTTTATGTCTGTTGAGTGGTGTTAGATTTAGTAAGGTGGGCAGAGTGTTGAGCCCAAAGCCTAGAATGGGAGGTGTGGGGAGGGGTTTTATTGTCCCTATTGAGGAGGTATTAGGTAAACGCCAAATGGCCAGTGAAATAAAATGGCTTTGGTGCCTTCCTCAACTGACACAGAAGGTGGTCAGGATGGATAGTTAGACCAGATGGCTGTGATTTTTGTGATAAAACAAGAAATATGTGAACTTTTAAAACCTTTGGCATTTCCTGAGATAGAGGTTCTGAGTATCTTGTTATTCATAATAAGCCCTTTTCAACCATATCTAAGCTTATGCTAATGAAGCGACTCTGGCTGGGCCCCTAGATAACTTTAGGATGGGGCCAATTGCCAGGGAACTCAACCTTGTGATTAGAAGTTTAGAACTTTCAGCCCCATCCCTGGACCTGCAGGGATGGGGAGAAGCTGGGGATTAAGTACAGTCCCCAGTGGTCAGTAATGTAATCAATCAGCCTACTTAATGCAACCTCCTTAAAACCCCTAAAGCCAGGGTTCTAAGAGCTTTTGGGTTAATGATCACATAGAGGTGCTGGGAGAGGGCATTGTGCCTAGAGAAGGCATGGAAGGCTTACCCATATGATGCTCTTTGCATCTCTTCCAGTCTGGCTTTTCCTGTGTTGTATCCTTTATAAGAAACAGGAAATGGGGCACCTGGGTGGCTCAGTGGGTTAAAGCCTCTGCCTTCAGCTCAGGTCATGATCCCAGGGTCCTGGGATTGAGCCCCGTATCGGGCTCTCTGTTCAGTGGCAAGCCTGCTTCCTCCTCTCTCTCTGCCTCCCTCTCTGCCTACTTGTGATCTCTGTCTGTCAAATAAATAAATAAAATATTTAAAAAAAACCAGGAAATGCGTTCTTGAGTTCTGTGAACCATTCTGGCAAAATTACCAAATTTGAGGAGAGGTTGTGGGAACCCCCAATTTGTAGGTCAGAAATACTGGAGACTTAGAATTTGTTTTTAAAGTGGGAGCACTCTTGGGGAACTGAACCCTTAACTGATGCTAATTCCAGGTCAGAATTGAGTTGAATTCAGTAGACATCTAGTTGTTGTTCTCTGAGATTCAGAGAATTGGTTTTTAATGTAGAAAGACCCACATGTTTGGTGTCAGAAGTGTTGTGAGTGAAAAACAACTTATATGGGCCATTCTCTTTTCTAGGTATAACTTTGGACTTGGCTGTTTCTTTTATAGGTGGAAAAATGGCATTTGTGAAGAGTGGATGGTTGCTGCGACAGAGTAAGTACCGAAGATGAGCCTGTTGGACTGGGTTTAGTGTTGCTTAGGGTACATGTTTATTTCTGTTGCTGAAACGGATCACATTTAAAAACAAATGTCAAAGTCTTATTAATTTTTAGAGCTCTGTGAACTGTGTTTTTCCTCACACAGAGTTCTTTCTTTGTTATAACTTTGATAGGAACCAGGGAATCGTGGTAGTCCCTGCTGGTTTCTCTTTTTCTCACTAGGGTGCTCTATTACTTATGGCTGACCTGAGTCCCTGCTGGAATCTAACCAAGCTGAACCCTGTCTCTGTGGGAAGTACCTGTCTTATTTGGGGATTGAACAGTGACTAAGATTCTGAAATACTAGAGACTAATTATAGAGATGAAGATTTGATTTGAGAGATAAATAAAATTTTATTTCTTTTAGATAAACTCTATCTAAAACTAGTTTATCTAAAACTAGTCTTTTGGATCTCCAAAAGAACTCTGCAGAAGAGAATCAGTTTTTTGTTTATTTTCTTTTAAAGACTTTATTTGTTTGAGAAGGAGAGAGAGAGTGTATGAGCATGAGAAAGAATGAATGAGTGAGGTGTGGGGGGTGTGGGGGGGTGGAGGGGTGGGGAAGGGCAGAGGGAGAGGGAGAAATACTCCCTGCTGAGCAGGGAGCCCAATGCAGGACTGGGATCATGACCTGGGCCAAAGGCAGACACTTAACCGACTAAGCCACCCAGGTACCCAGGATCATGGAATGTTCTAAAGTAAGAAGAATCAACTCTGTTCTTTGGAGAAAAAGTAAACAGATTATTCTGCTGTCCTTCTAGAAAGAGCATAGTTAAGGGAAAAGTGACTACTATATCACTTATGACTTTACCAAAAAACTGAGCTGTAGTTTATACTGTTTATTGTTCAGATACAAATTTCTGTTATCCCTTCAGAACTTAGCTAAAATTGAGACTAGCACTGAAGAATGGACTGCACACCTTAGATGGTTTATAAAAACTATTATTTATGAGGGTTGTTTGTGATCCTGTTACGTAGATTTTACATATGTTATGTACTTATCATAGCAGCTCTGTGAGGTGGGTGGCGTTATCCTGGTTTCTAGTTGAAGAAATTGAGTTTTAGTGATGTTAGGTAACTTAACACTGTGGGTGGCAAACCTGTATTGAGATTTAGGACGTGTCATTTCAACATTGATAGACTTTCTACCAGGAGACAAGCCTTCAGCTTATTTGTCCTGTCACTAGTTCAACATTCCCAGACCTGGAGCTGAACCAGGTGTCCTTTCAAGTCTGTGACAGTTCTATATTCTAAGAATAGATAGAGCAGTGTTGGCTTTAAAAAGAAAGTCCTGGAATATTGGAGTCTAGCCCCAGTCTTTGTGTAAGTTTCTTTGATTTGGGTTCTGTGATTCCATTCTTCCCTAAATTGTTAGGGGATGTGGAGAGCCTTGCTTGTGGAAACCTTGAGGATATATCTTCCTTTCCTGGCCCTTTGGATATCTCTGCTTTTCTTTTTAGGCTTTGCTGTGTCCTTGTTTGAGGACAAGCTTTCCTTTCTCCACCATGACTCAATGTAAATGTTCTGGGAACATAAATGAACAGTGACCATTTTGACTATTTTTTGTCCCCTCTCCCATCACTGCCTAGCTTGATGACATACACAAAATAGATATATTTAAAAAAAATTGTACTAACTTTTCTAGTTTCTTGGTCCATTGACAGTCTTGAAGTGTATATTCAGAAAACTTATTCCATTTCCCCATCTTCGAATTTGTGTTGATTTTCCTTTGCAAAAACCAGAACTGTCAATCATAATAAAATAAGATGAAGTGAGATATATTATACTCACTGGGTATAAACACAGATGATTACAGGTATGCATAGTGGTCTAGAGGTTTCCTTTTATTGCCATTGCCACACAGACCTTTAGGACTCTGGAGGACAGCCTAAATTGGAAATCTGCAGTCAGGGCTTAGGTGGCAGGTGAGATACTTGCGTAGAACTCCCTAAACCAGTGATCCCGTCTATATGTTTGGGCAGCTCTGTTTGATAGTTTCTGTATAGCTCAAGGGGCTGCCAATCAAATGGATGCTGATGTCACTTATTTATCAGTTTGGGACAGTGCTGTGGATGCCCCTTTTTGCAAGGAGGGTGCCTGATAGATAAAAGAGATTTGGAAGGGTGATATGGTGCATATTTTGTTATCACCAGTAATGGCTATGAGAGCATAAGGAGAGGTACATGGAATGGGATTTGTGCACAATGGCCAAGAAGGGTGGGGTCTAATAGGAACGAAGGATGTAGTCGGTAGTGTCTGGGTGTGAGGAAGGAGTAGGGGTGACTGACTTGGCCTTTTTGTTTTCCTTTTTGGCTGACAGGGAAATTTCAGTTTCATAAAGTCAGTGCCTAGTCCAAGAATACAAATGGTTGGATGAATTCCTTAAACTGATAGGCTTTGTGAGGTAGCAGGACAGATGCACACAGGATGGGAGTCAGTGTCCTGGCTGTGGGTACACCCAGTGTCTGAACCTGCTTCTGTGTCTGTTTGAGGCAGGGAGACCCTCCCACGCCATGGGCTTTAAGGGAAGATGAATGGTAAAGAAGAATATATGTGAAAGCTCTTTGAGAAAAAAACAAACATATTTTTTCAAAAGAGGAAGGCTTTACTCTTCTCTATATACTTTATATACTTTGTATATAGAGACTTCACAGTCCAGTGTTCTCTGATCATTAGCAAAGTTATATACTACTGGGAAACTTTTGATATGCTACATGGAAAATTAAATATTAGATGTTTCATTAGCTTAAAATGAAGGATTTTTTTGTTTTTAAAAATTTTTTTGAGTATAATTGACGTAGTCTTACATTAGTTTCAGGTGTACAACTCTGTTATGCTATGCTCACCACAAACATAGTTACCATCTATTTCCATACATCACTATTACAATATCATTGATTGTATTCTTTGTGCAGTGCCTTTTATTCCCCTGATTTATTCATTTCATAACTGGAAGAATCTCTCTCTCACTATCCTTCCTCTGTTTTGCCCATCCCTCATCCCCCTCCCATCTGGCAAACATCAGTTTGTTCTCTGTATTTATGTGTCTTTTTCTTTTTTTTAATGTATGTTTATTCATTTTATTTTTTTAGATTCCACATTGAGTGGAATCGTGTGGTTTTGTCTTTCTCAGTGTGATTTATTTCACTTCTCAGTGTGATTTATTTCACTTAGTGTAATACCTTCTAAGTCCATCTGTGTCATCACAAATGGCACAGTCTCATCCTTTTTTATGAGTATGTAATATTTCATTGTATATAAATCTCACGTCTTTCTTCCATTTGTCTGTCAATGGACACTTAGCAACTTAGGTTTCTTCCTTTTCTTGGCTGTTGTAAATAATGCTGCAATAAACATAGTGACTATATGTTTTCAAATTAGTGTTTTTGTTTTCTTTGGGTAAATAGTAGTGGAATTATTAGACCATATGGTATTTCCATTTTTTTTAACATCTTAATTTTATTTTTTTCAGTGTTCCGAGATTCATTGTTTATGCACCATACCCAGTGCTCCATGCAATACATGCCCTTCTTAATACCCACCACCAGGCTCATACCCCCACTTCCCTTCTCTCCAGAACCCTCAGTTTGTTTTTCAGAGTCCTCAGTCTCTCATAGTCCATATGGTATTTCTATTTTTAATATTTTGGGGAACATCCATACTGTTTTCCATAGTAGCTCTACCAGTTTACATTCCCACCAACATACGAGTGTTCTTTTTTCTGTATATCCTCACCAACACTTGTTATCAAAATCAAGGTTTTATCAAACTTAAAAAAAAAAATGGCGACTATTAAGTTGGCAGCATTCTTAGTATCTTTAGTGTAAGCTAAACACTATGTAGCCTGGTACAGCATAGGTGTTTATGCTATTGGAGTCTGCTTTCATCTCTATTTTGATGGAGCAACTCTGGGCAGCTGTATGCATGCATACTTATGGGGCCAGAGGAACGTTTCCTTTGTTTCCTTTGTTTTAGTTATCTGTGAACTAGAGAATGAAGTCCTTGCTTTTTTGGCTCAAAACCAATGGGTTTCCATTTTTTTCAGGTACTATTTTGAAGCGTTGGAAAAAGAATTGGTTTGACCTGTGGTCAGATGGTCACCTGATCTATTATGATGATCAAACTCGGCAGAGTGTCGAGGATAAGGTCCATATGCCAGTAGACTGCATCAATATCCGCACCGGGCATGAGTGTCGGGGTAAGTGAGTCTGTTGTGGCCCGCTTCTGTCCTCTACCCTTGTCCATTCATGGTGGGAGTTGAATCATCTTCCTTTCTCCTTTTGCTTTCATTGACAGACCAAAGAAGGGTTTCATCTTTCATCAAAGAAGGGAGGTAACCACAGTGGGCACCCAGACACTTGGATCATGAATCATATGGTTGGGGCAGATTAATTTTCTCAACTGAATCAGACCCAGCAGTCCACATTCCTTGCTCTGTTATGGAGAAAGTGATGGAGAACAACCAGACTGCTGGGATCCCCAAGAAAGATGGAACCACCCTAGGTAGTACAGGTTTTGTTACTCAGAAACTGGCATCTTATTGATGACACCACCAGTCAGTTACTTAAAAATCCATGATGCCTTGGTTTCCTTGAATTATTCTTTATATTCATTTTAAAGTAATACATTTTTAATAAGTATAGACTTTTATATTTCTAATTAAGGGCATATATAGACTTCCCTGTTTATTAGCTCTGTTTCTGTTTGGAATAGAGTCTGTTTTAGTAAACACTGATGTTTGAAACATCCTGATCTATATAATAGTTTTTGAATTACTGAGTTAAAAAATGGCCTATCTGCTAGTAATAACCATTGTTGTAACATCTTGCCCCTGCATGTTAGTTCTTGAAACACAAGTATCCATGGGCTAGCTGTTGAAATATCTACCTACGCTAGGCTCAAATATCACAGACCTTATTTCTTGGTACACAGAGCTACTTGAAAAGTATGATTTTCACTTTTAAAGCAGTGATCCAGTTTAGTATTTCCTGTGAATAAAAGCAAAAAGTATTTTGTTATCTGATGCTCAGTAACGCTTTTCATTGGAGCTTATTCTTCTAATGTCTGGGCCGTTCTGTACATTTCAGTATATGGATTGCCCTCTAGAAGAGGCCTGCTTGTTCTTCCTTCAGGAAGTTTATTTATTTATTTTTATTTACTTATTTGTCTAAAGATTTTATGTATTTGAGAAAGAGAGGAAGGGAGAGAGCACATGAGTGGGTAGGGGGAGGGGGAAAGGGAGGGAGAAGCAGACTCCCTGCTGAGCAGGGAGGCTGATGTGGGGCTCCATCCCAGGACCTTATGAACATGACCCAGGCTGAAGGCAGATGCTTAACCGACTGAGCTACCCAGGCGCCCCTCCTGTAGAAAGTTTAATTGGAACAGAGTTGTGATTCATGTGCTTGGTTCTGTAGAGCAGGGCAAAGATGTTTTATTATTGGAATGTTCTGAAATACTGGTCTTTTGCTTATCTGAGTTGTTAGGTAGAATAAATCCTTTAAAACAAACTATATAAATACTGCCTTATTCTACTTATTTTTCAGATATTCAGCCTCCAGATGGGAAGCCAAAAGACTGTATGCTACAGATTGTTTGCCGAGATGGGAAAACTATCAGTCTTTGTGCAGAAAGCACAGACGATTGTTTGTAAGTTTTGAGTTTTTATGTGTTTAATTTAAAAACTGTTGTGTTTTAATTTCCAGTCAAGGAAATTTCCAGAAGGGAGAAGAATGAGAATGGAGTTTTCCTTCAGGCAGCAGAATAAGTGACTCAGAGGATATGTGAAACAAATGTAACAGGGCATTATTCCATACCTAACAACCCTTGTCCTAGTTTCTGCTTCTCTAGAGCTGTGCAGGCGAGATCCCATTATACTGGGAATGACAGAGTATTAGTATATAGCCACTTTGCACTCTTTTTCATTACTAGACGTACATTGGGTAATGGATGTAGTTGAATGGGTTCTTAAATCTTGTTCTTTTTATGTAAGTATCTTTTAAAAAAGCATTGACATCTCTGTTACTCAGTCTTTTCCTTCCTTTGGTGGTTCTTGCTCCATCTGCCATCTTTGAAGAAGGGATATAATAAGGAAGAAAACCTAGCTTTATCAGTTCTCAGCCTGTTAACATTGGCAGTGAAGTTGAATCAGAATCTTGAAAATACCGGCTAAATTATAATTTGGAGGTGAGGGAGCGCCTAGGTGGCTCCGTCGATTAAGCATCCAACTCTTGATTTTGGCTCAGGTCATGATCTCAGGGTCATGAGATTGAGCCCTGTGTTGGGCTCCATGTTGGGTGTGAAGCCTGCTTAATATTCTTTCTCTCCCCCTCTCTGACCAAGCACAACTGCATGCAAGCTCCATCTTTCTTAAAAAAAAAAAAAAAAATTGGGGGGAGATTTTTTTTTAATGGCTACTCTGTACCACCTTTATGAGTTAACTCTGGACGTTGTAAGAATTCACTAACCGAATATTGTAATGTTCATTTATATTAAAATCTTTATATTTAGGTGACTATTTACATACAATACAGGCCAGTTTGTCAGAGTGCTTGCTCCACATTTCACATATATGTTCATTTTCAATATAAACATTTATTCCATGCTAAACTCACAGAGTTTATTTTAAATCCCATATATAGCTGCTTGTTTACACTCTTCTGATTTATATCAAGCAGTAAATCTTAAACGATACTTTCTGGAAGAGATACAGCTTTCCTTTAGACTGATGGAGAAATGACCGCACATAAATCCGGTTTGCTACTTTTTAATAAACTGGACCTATATTATTACTGCTTAACAATTTAAACATGTATATTGAACACTTACCTGGCACTAGTCACTGTGCTAATTACTTCATATATGTTATTTAATCCTCACTATATCTTATAAGGTAGATGTTATTCTTGTTATAAGAAACTTAGGCTTAGTGAGGTTAAGTAACTTCCTGTATCACTATTTTTTTTGTTTTTAAAGATTTTATTTATTTGTCAGAGAAGGAGAGAGAAAGAACACAAGTAGGAGAAGCGGCAGAGGGTGAGGAAGAGGCAGTCTTCCTGCTGAGCAGGGAGCCTGACGCAGGGCTTGATCCCAGGACCCTGAGATTATGACCTAAGCCAAAGGCAGATGCTTAACCGACTGAGCAACCCAGGCACCCCCCTCCCATATCACTTTTTTAATGCTCCTGTAATAAATTACCCTGACAGTGGCTCAAACAATACAAATTTATGATTACATGTTGTAAGGTCAGGAGTCCAACACTGGGTCTTAAGTGTCAGCAGGCTCTAGGAGAGAATCTGTTTGCTTGTCTTTTAAGCTTCTGGAGGCTTCTTCGTTTCTTGGCTTCTGGGCCATGCCTTCTCTTGTGGTCATCTTTTTGGTTCTCTGCAGGTGGGGAAGGGCTTATGCCTTTAAGAACTTAATGAATAGTTTGTGCCAACCTGGATAATCCAGGGTAATCTCCCCATTTCAAGGTCCTTAACCTTAATTACAGCTATAGAGTCCCTTTTGCCCTGTGAGGTAACATTCGCAGCTTTTCAGGATTAGGATGTATACATCATTCTGCCTACCATACTTGCCAAGATTTTAGAGGCTAGTAGACTAGACTCAGGATTTGAACCTTTGTCTCCAGAGACCTGTGTTCTTAACTGCTCTGTTCTGCTGTACATTGAGGTGTCACATGGAACATTCTTTTTTTAATGTAGTGGCAAAAATATCTGGAACTATCCATAATTAGACCAATGATGCTTATGATCTCAGTAAATGTGAACTGGTTACATTCCCCTTAAAAAGAATAATATTTGTGATTGGGTAAAAAATATAAAGTCTAACTATATAGTCTGTTAACAAGAATTTGAAATAAAATGACTCGGAAAGGTAAAAAAGTAAATAGGAGACTGTTTCAGGAGAGTGGCTGCCACAAACTGGGTGCCTTAAAACAACAAAGGTATTCTCTCACAGTTCTGGAAGCTAGGAGTCTGAGCTTGGCGTGTCAGCAGAGCCATGCTCCCTCTGAGACTCCTGAGTAGAATCCTTCCTTACCTCTTCCTAGTTTAGGTTGTGGATGGTGATCCTTGGCATTCTTTGGATTGCCATTGGATCAGTCCAATCTCTGCCTCTGTTGTAACAAGGCATTCTCCCTGTGTGTCTGTGTCCAGATGTTCTTTTATAAGGACACTAACTGTAGTAGAGTAAGGATCCATATACGTTAATTCAGTATGACCTCATCTTGAGTCCACTTGTAAAGACTGACCTTCCTTCCTTCCTTTTTCTTTTTTTCAGATTCATTTATTTATGATTTATTTATTTGACAGAAAGAGAGAGTGCGTGTGTACATGTGCCTGGGAAGAGGAGAGGGAGAGAGGTTTTTTTTTTTTTAGGGACAAATGAGCATTTATTTGGTATTAAAGAATTGCAGTTGAGGGAGCACAGATCCAGGTAAATCCCCAAGCAGTGTTCCCACTCAGAGAGTGTTCATAGAGTTAAAGCAAAAGTTTTTCATTTTTTATTTCAATTTAGTTAACACATATTGTATTCTTAGTTTCAGGAATAGAATTTAAATTGTGATTGATCACTTACATATAACATCCAGTGCTCATTATATCAAGTGCCCTGCTTAATAATTAGCCCATCACGCAGCCCTCACCCCCTCTAACAATCTTCCAGTAACCCTCAGTTTGTTTCCTCGAGTTATGAGTCTCCTATGATTCCTTCCTTTTCTGTGTTCATCTTAATTTATTTGTCCTTCCCTTCCCCTGCATTCGTCTCAAACTCTACACATGAGTGAAATCATATGGTATTTATCTTTCTCTGACTCACCTATTTTGCCTTGCATAATACACTGTACCTGGGGGAGAGAGTGTCTTAAGCAGACTCTGTGCTGAGCATGGAGCCCTAAATGGAGTTTGATCTCATGGTCCTGAGACTAACAGCTGAATACTCAACTAACTACACCATCCAGGCACCCCAAGACCTTATTTCTAAACAAGTCAAAGGTACTAGAGATTAGGACTTCAGCTTATTTTTTGGCAGGGGACAGAATTCAACCTATAACTGAGACCTTTGAGTAAAAATGGTAAAATGAAGGGGAAATTTTTTAGCGGTAACAGACAAAGAAGTTCAGCTTCAAGCACCAACTGTGAAGAGTGATGGCCAAAGAAAGAAATTTTTGTTGAAAGAAAGATTTTGTTGAGATGTTTCATTGTTTTTATCTCCAGCTGCCAGAAGTAGTAGCAGGAGGAGTTAATTTAAGTCTTGCGAAGTTTCAGTAATACTCTGCAGTTTGGAAGGATGTTGATTAAAAGAGTAAGCTTTTTGGGAAAGCTAAGGAAAAACCCTTGAGAATATGATATCCCTGGTACCTCAGTGGAGAGTGGAAGGTTCCCACCAGGGTTTACTTATCATTCCAGCCCTGGAAGATTTCAAAGCTCACAGTAGAAGAATAATTCTTTGGCTGATGAAGTGAACCCTAGCATGAGACATTCAAAAGAATATGCTCAGAAGAGTGTAGAGGCCAGATTTTTCAGAAAGGACTTACTCGGTGTCAAAAGAAATTTTCTTCTCTCCCACCATTGTTTGCTCTGATTACAGAAAAGCAGTTGAGGGTAATACCTAGTCATCACACTGTTACTGGAGTGGAGTGAGGTGGTGTTATCAATAGACATCAGATTAAGTAGGAAGGGTATCAAGAAGAAATAACACATACTGTATGAGAGCGAATAGAAGTTTTAGGTGTCATTTCCCATGTTAAACATGAGTAAGATGCAAAGAAACGGTGTGGCAAATACACTGTAAAGGAGAAATAAAAAGGAAAATGTAAACCTCAGAAAAAGCTCCTCATCTGTAGGAAAATAAAACCCACGAAACAGAATTGAATTTTCCAAGAATGCTTTCCTGGCTGCCATATTTAAAATTATAACCCCCCCTTACATCATACACATATACACATATACTTACAATCAAACTAGCTATTTTTTTATCCTGTTTGTCTCTTTTTATTAGAATATAAACTGGCTGAGAGAGGGAATTTATGTTTCTTCTGTGCCTTTTTGCATCTGAGTAGCCAAGAAGGTCTGTCATGGGGCGTATCTGCTGTTCATTTTATTATCTTAAGGGGCGCAAATCTCCCTTCCCTGGGGTACAAGCCCAACTAAAAAATGAATCATTGGCATGAAGGAAAGACTTGGGAATACTCTCAGGGAAAGTTGGGTGAAAAGATTAAACAATTTAGAGAAAAGATCAGAATTACGTTAGAAAGACTTAAAGAGTTTATCAGAAAGATTATTGATGTCTGGAAAGTACAGAACCCAAGAAGGTAGTTAGAAATTCAGTGCAAGAAAAACTTGCTGAAATAGTAGAACTGAATTAGACCATAAGAGACTCTCCTACCTGATAATATTAAATCCATATACAGTATATGAACAATCCAATAGGATACCCTTTAGCAAAATGAATGACAATAGTAAGCCACTTATAAATCTGTTGGGGGAATTTTGCAACTTAACCGCATTTATTAGAAAACCAGAATGTTTGAAAATAGCTTAGCTTGAAAATAACTTTACAAAGCTTTTAACTCAAAGAGGTAGTAAAATGACTATCCTTCTAGATAGATAGATTCTAGATAGATAGATTCTAGATAGAGAATCATTAAGAAAGGTGAGGGTATGAGGGAGGGAGAACAGAAAATTTGCGAGATTTAAGATTTAGGTATCTAGTTTTTGTGACCCTATATGGGCAGTTAGTAGGAATAGAATGTGTTACAACTTTTTCCCAGGGTCGTTTGGCAGTGCCCACTGAAATATGTTTATAGTTCTTGACCTAGCAGTTTCACTCTTGGAATTTGTCCTATAGAAATGTTTACATAAGGGTGCAAAGGTAATAAGGATGTTAACAGTAGCATAGTTTTCATGTGTGACGAATCCACAACTAACATACTCAGCAGTGACAGGCTGGAAGCTTTCCCACCAAGATCAGGAATAAGACAAGGATTACTCCACTCTTACTATTTCTGTTCTACTACACTTTGGTTTTAACCAAATTAGTTAGTCAAGGAAGGAAAATAAAAGGCATCTAAATTGGAAAGGAAGAACTAAAATTATCTCTGTTATGGATGATTTGATCTTCTATATAGAAAACCCTAAATAAAGAAGGATGCCTGTGTGACTCAGTCAGTTAAGCCTTTGCTTTCGGCTCAGGTCATGATGCCAGGGTCCTGAGATTGAGTCCCACATCAGGCTCCTTGCTCAGCGGGGAGCCTGCTTCTCCCTCTGCCTGCTGTTCTCTCTGCTTGCGCTCATGCTCTCTCTCTCTCTGACAAATAAATAAAATCTTAAAGACTCCACCAAAAAATTGTTAGACCTAATAATTGAGTTCAGTAAAATTCTAGGATATAAATCCATCATACAAACATCACTTGCACTTCTTTATACTATCTGAAACTATCTGAAAGGAACTATCTGAAAAAGAAAATCTTATTTGTAATAGCACTAAAAATAATGAAATACTTAAGAATGAACTTAACCAAGGAGATGAAAGATCTGTACACTGAAAATTATAAGACATTGATGAAAGAAATTGAAGATGACACAGACAAATGGAAAGATATCCTGTGTTCATGGATTGGAAGAATTAATATCATTAGAATGTTCTTACTACCCAAAACCATCTGTAAATTCATTGTAGTTACTATCAGTTTCACTGACATTTTTCAAGTACAAATAACAATCCTAAAATTCAAGGGGAACCACAAAAGACCTTGAATAGCCAAAGAAAGAACAAATCTGGACACATCATAATTCCTGATTTCAGACTTTATTACAGAACTATAGTAATCAAAACAATGTGGTATTGGCATAAACATAGACACATAGACCAATGGAATAGATTAAGAGCCCAGAAATAAATGCATGTATATATAGTCAATAACATATTTTTTTTAAGTTTATTTATTATCTATTTAAGTAATTTCTACACTTAGTGAGTGTGTGGCTCAAACTCATGACCCTGAGATCAAGAGTCCTGTGTTCTTCTGACTGAGCCAGTCAGCTGAATGGTCAATAATTTTTGATGGAGGAACAAAGAATGCTCAATGGGGAAAGGACAGTTTTTCTTCAGTAAATGGTGCTGTGAGGACTGGATAATCCTATGTAAAAGAATGAAATGGGAATGCTATCTTAGATCACTCACACAGATTAATTCAAAATGGATTAAAAACTTAGATATAAGACCTTAAACTGTTAAATTACTAGAAGAAAACAGGGAAAAAGCTCCTTGTCTTTTTTTTTTTTTTTTTTTTTAATTCTTATAAGTTAACATATAGTGCTACATCAGTTTCTGGTGTACAATACAGTGATCCAGCAATTCTGTACATTACAGGGTGTTCATTGTGATAAGTTGTACTCTTAGTCCTCTTCACCAATATAACCTGTCCCTGCCACTCACCTCCTTTCTAGCAGCCATCCATTTATTCTCCATAGTTGAGACTCTGCTTTTTGGTTTGTGTTTGTTTGTCTCTCTTTTTTCCTTTATTCATTCCTTTTGTTTCTCAAATTCCACAAATGAGTGAAATCATATGGTATTTGTCTTTCTCTGACTGGCTTATTTCGATTAGCATAATACTCTCTAGCTCCATTCATATTGTTGGAAATGGCAAGCTCCCATTCTTCTTTATGGCTAAATATTATTCCATTGTGTGTGTACATGTGTATATATGTGTGTATATACACATGTGTCTGTATACACACATACATGTATATATGCATACACATATACACATGTGTACACACACACACACACACATAGCACTTCTTTATCCATTAATCTACTGATGGACACTTGTGCTGCTGTTTGACCACTGTAAATAATGCTGCAGTAAACATAGGGGTGCATGTATCTCTTCAAATTAGTGTTTTCATATTCTTTGGGTAAATATTCAGTAGTACAATTGCTAGATCATAGGGGAGTTCCATTTTTAATTTTTTAAGGAACCTCCATACTGTTTACCATAGTGGCTGCACCATTTGCATTCCCACCTACAGTGCAAGGAAGGTTTCTTTTACTCCACATCTTTGTTAACACTTTGATGTGTTGTTGATTTTAGTTATTCTGACAGGTATGAGGTGATATCTCATTGTAGTTTTGATTTGCATTTCCGTGATGATGGGTGATGTTGAATATCTTTTCATGTGTCTGTTGGCCATCTGGATTTCTCCTTGGAGAAATGTTTGTTCGTGTCTTCTTCCCTATTTTAGTTGGATTATTTGCTTTATGGGTGTGAGTTTTATTAAGTTCTTTATATATTTTGTTTTGGATACTAACCTTTATCAGGTATGCCATTTGCAAATATCTTCTCCCATTCAGTAGGTTGCCTTTTAGTTTTGTTGGTTGTTTCCTTTGTTGCGGGGAAGCTTTTTACTTTGATGTAGTGCCAATTGTTTATTTTTACTTTTGTTTCCCCTGCCTCAGGAGATATATCAAGAAAGAAGTTGCTATGGCTGATGTCAGAGAAATTACTGCTTGTGTTCTAGGATTTTTTGGTTTTAGGTCTCATGTTTAGGTCCTTAATCCATTTTGAGTTTATTTTGTTTATGGTGTAAGAAAATCGTAGTTTTGGGAAAAAGCTCTTTAACATTGGTCTTGGCAGTGATTTTTTTTTGTTTGTTTTTAGATGGAACACCAAAAGCACAAACAGCAAAGGCAAAAGTAAACACATGGGACCGCATCAAATTCTAAAGCTTCTGCACAGCAAAGAAACAATCAGAAAAATGAAAAGTCATCCTATGGAATGGGAGGAAAAAATATATTTTTAGTATTTTATATATCAGTGACAGAGCATGGGTGGTAGGGAGGGGCAGAGGGAGAGGGAGAACCAGACTTCCCGCTGAGCAGAGAGCCTGACGGGCTTAACCTTAGGACCCTGAGATCATGACGTGAACTGACTGAGCCACCCAGGTACCCCTGAGAGAAAATATTTGTAAACCTTCTACATGATAAGGGCTTAGTATCCAAAATATATAAGGAGATTGTATAGCTTCATAGCAAAAAAACCTACAGTTTTATTTTAAAATGGGCAAAGGACTTGAATAGATATCTTTCCAAATATATACAAATGGCCAAAAGGAAAAGATGCTCAACATCACTAATCACCAGGGATGCAGATCAAAATCATAATGAGATTACCTCACACCTCCTAGAATGGCTATTAACAAAAGGACAAAAGATAAGCATTGGTGAGGATGTAGATAAGGGAATCTGGTGTATTGTTGGCAGGAATGTAAATTGGTAAAAGCCACTATGGATATGTTATGGTGATTCCTCAAAAAACTAAATGTAGAACCACCATTTAATCTAGCAGTCCCTCTTTGGATATGTCTTGAAGGAAACAAATCATTATCTTGAAGAGATATTTGCACCCACATGTTCAATGCAGCATTATTCACAGTATCCAAAACATGAAACAACCTAAGCAGTTGTTGAAGGATGAAAGGACAAAGAAAATGTGACACACACACACAGACGCAGAATTCAGTCATGAAAAAAAAGAAGGAAATCCCCCCCCCTTTTTTAAAAGATTTTATTTATTTATTTGACAGAGAGAGATGACAAGTAGGCAGAGAGGCAGGCAAAGAGAGGAAGGGAAGCAGGCTCCCTGCTGAGCAGAGAGCCCGATGCAGGACTCGATCCCAGGACCCTGAGATCATGACCTGAGCTGAAGGCAGAGGCTTTAACCCACTGAGCCACCCAGGCACCCTGAAATCCTCCCTTTTGCAACATCTTGGGTGGACCTTGAGGGCATTTTGCTAAGTGAAGTAAGCCAAACAGAGAAATATTTTATGTTCTCACTTACTGGTAGAATCTTAAAAAGTCAGATTCCTAGAAATAGATAGTGGAATGAATGGTCAGGGGATATTAGATGTTGGTTGAACGGTACAAACTTTCAACTATGTGATGAATAAGTTTTGGGCATCTAATTATATAGTTTGGTGATTATAATAAATACTTTATTATATACTTGAACAAGTTACGAAGTAAATTTAAAATGTTATCACCAGAAAAAATAGAAAAGCAGCTATGTGAGGGAGTGAAGGTGTTAATCTTAACTGTGGTAATCATTTATATATATATATAATATAGTGGTAATCATTTTGATATATATATACACACATAATATATATTCAGATCACCACATTATTTATATACCTTAAACTTATATGACATGTGCCAGTTTCTCAAGCAGGCATTATTTTCAATTACAGAAAACCTGACAATCTAAATCTCACATCATGGAACATTATGTAGCCATTAAAAAACAAATGCACATCTGTGTGTGACATGAATTGATAAAGCAAATTGCAGTATAGTAAGCATGGTGCATTTTATATTTACTAAAGAGTAAAGCAAAAACTGTGTAGTAATAGGGCATGCTTTAAATATATAGTGTATGTACCATAGATAAATATTTTTTGTATATTATGTATTTCTTGTGCATGTTTGAAATGCTTTGATTGAGTGGGGTCTTGGGGTAAGGGCTGAAGACCTATTCTTGAAACAAGCTTTTCCAGAAATTTTTATGCCAACACAGGTGTGAGAATCCTTGAAATAGATGTTGGATTGCCTTGAATAAAACATCCCTTTTTCTTTTCTTTAGGGCCTGGAAATTTACACTCCAGGATTCCAGAACAAATACAGTAAGTTGCTAATGGCAGTCACCAGTAACATTTTCACCTAGTTTGCTGTAACAAATGGGAGGGTAGGGGATTAAGAAAGGGGAATGGAGATGGGTGTCTTGGCCATCCAGTGATGGCTGAGTAGTCATAGCTGGGTGGGGCACCTTTCGCTGATATGAGAGCAAGCTAGATTTTGTCAAACCTTTTAAGCAGGAAGAGCCCCTCTGAATATAGGCAGCACTGGTTCCAGTGTTACCTTCCAGAAACGACTGTATCTCAGAAAGTTTTGCAACACTTTGAGTTCTGTGATTTACAGGGATGGCTCAGAAGGACAACAGAGTCCCTTCTAGGCATAACATCTCAGCCTTGTGAAACAAGCATTTTTGGGACTTGTACTTAATTCCAGTTCTGCTTCTGAGGTTGCTGAAACAGTTAAACCCCATTTATAGGTGTTCATAATGCCATGCTTGTTTCTATCAGAGAATCAAGGCAACAACTTTGCACTCAACTTCTGCAGTCAGCATTTTTATTCTTTTTTTTTTTTTTTTTTTTTAAAGATTTTATTTATTTGACAGAGATCACAAGCAGGCAGAGGCAGGCAGAGAGGAAGGGAAGCATAGAGCCCGATGCGGGGCTCGATCTCAGGACCCTGGGATCATGACCTGAGCCGAAAGCAGAGGCTTTAACCCACTGAGCCACTCAGGCACCCCAGCATTTTTATTCTTTAGACAGGATTTTATTTTTTCTTTTATCTCTTTAGGAAGAAAAGAAGGTAGATGAAACTTTTAAAAGATAATTTGTACAGGTGGGAAAAGAAAGTAAAAAAGACTGAATATCCAAATGACTTTGTTTCCTATTCCTGTTAGTCTGACAGTTCTTCCTCTTAAGGCTACTGTGCAACTTCAGTTACCTTTTCTTTCATAAAAATCTTCTTTTTGGCTGAAATTAGTATTAATGATCCATATAGTTGGAAGTAAGATCCTAGATGATTCTTTGTATGGAGTTTTTTTTTAATGAGAGCGTTGATTTTTCTTTTCCCTTGGGAAGTAATTTAACGGAGGATTTTTTTTTAAATGCAAAAAACAGGCTGTGTGTAGAACAACCTCTGACTGCTACATTTCAGACTGTAGGATTTTTATTTAACAAAAGGGTTGTTGAAAGTGGTACAACATTTTTGAAAAGGCCTGGGTGATGTGAGTCTTTCTGGTCTCTTTGGGCAGTGAGGGCTCTGTTCTTGTCACCTGCTGATGGGTGAAGAGGACCTCCTCCTCCCAAATTCGAAGGACACTTAGAGTGCAGGGTTGAAAGGGAGTGGTAGGGAGATACTCCTGTTTACTACTTCTCACAGAGCTGTTTTTTTTTGCTGTTCTGATTTTTAAAAATTTGCTAAATAAAAAGGATACATATACATAGAATTCCAAGAGCCTGCAGTTGCTTTGTGACAGCTCTCTTTCATTCTCTCTCTCCTCTCATAGGCTTATGTTGGCTCAGATGTCCTGTATGATGAGACAGCTGTGGCTTCTTCCCCACCTCCTTACACAGCCTATGCCGCACCAACCCTGGAGGTAGGGAGTAAATCTTGGGATTTCAGAATCCAAGTGAAGGGAAGTTGTGGGTCTCTATGCTACTCTCCTTTTTAAGAAATAAAAAAGAACCTTGAGCCACTATTAGAGAAATTAGAAATGTACTCAGCCCTTTTCTTCTTTAAACTTAAAAAAAAAAAAAAAAAACAGATTATTGGGATGCCTGGGTGGCTCAGTGGGTTAAGCCGCTGCCTTCGGTTCAGGTCATGATCCCAGAGTCCTGGGATCGAGTCCCGCATCGGGCTCCTTGCTCAGCAGGGAACCTGATTCTCTCGCTGCCTCTGCCTGCCTCTCTGCCTGCTTGTGTGTACTCGCTTGCTCTCTTTCTCTGGCAAATAAATAAAATCTTTAAAAAACCCCAAAAAAACAAAAAAAAGACCAGATTATTATTTTTTTTCATAAAATTTATAATCTTTATATTCACATTTTGTTTTAAAGATAGACCTGAAAATGATTCATGTTAATGACAGTTTGGTAATATGATATTGATGATTTATGATTTATACTTAATGAATTAATAAATGAGAATTCAAATACTTGAATTCTCTTTATAATCAGGGAAAAAAGCTTCTTTTATTTTGAAAAAACAAAACCTTAAAAAAAAAAATCACATAACAAATACCTTGGGAGTATCTCCTAGGTAGAAGTGCCAAGTGTTCATTGCTACATATAGAAGTCTCTGTTTGTGGGAGGTACTTCTGTTTTGTTTTGTTTAACTTTTAATTTTGAATAATTATAGATTTATAGGAAGTTGCAAAAATAGTATGTAGAGATCTCATGTATTCTTCACCCAGGTCCCCTCTAGTTGTTACATGTTAGATAAAATCAAAACCAGGAATTTAAAATTGGCACAGTGTTTATGCCTGGTTTTGTGTCATTTTATTGTACGTGTAGATTTGTGTAATCAGCTTCTTAGTCATGATACGATGCTGTTCACAAAATCTTCCTTCTACACTCTTACATAGTCACATCTTCCTTCCCCTTTCCTAACTCCTGTCAGCCACTGATTTGTTCTCTGTTTATGTAATTTTGTCGTTTCCGCAGTGTTACATAAATTGAGTCATTCAGCATGTGATTTTTTTTTTTTTTTTTTTTTTTTGGTATTTCTCACATAGTACAGTGCCCTTGAGAGCCATCCAGATTGTTGCATGTGTACCCCATTAAGTATTGAGGGGCATTGTGCTCGCTTTGGCAGCACATACACTAAAAAAAGTATTGAGGGGCATTTATCTGTTAGGGTTGTTTCAGAGTTCTGTTACCAATAAACCCCCCATGAAGACTCATCATTTACAGGTTTTTGTACAAACATAAGGTTTTATTTCTCTGGAAAAAAGTGCTCCAAAGGGGAATTGCTTATTCTGTTGTATGGTAAATATATGGTTAGTTTTTTAGAAAGCTAGCAAACTACTTTCCAGAATGACTCTACCATTTAACTGACGAGTAATCCAGTTTCTCTGCATCCTTCCCAGCGTTAAGTGTTGTCATTGTTTTTTTAAAATTTTAGCCATTCTAATGGGTGTATAGTGATATTTCATTCTGATCTTAATTTGTGTTTCCCTAATAGTAATGTTGCCATTTTTTATGTTCTTTTTTGCCATCATATATCCTGTTCAGTAAAATGTCACCTCATGTCTTTTGCTTGCTCAGTAGCATGTAGACATCTTAACATGTTGTGCCTTTCACAGTTTTAATTTTCATGCAGTCCGATTGCTCAATTTTTATGGTTCATGGTTTTGTTGTCATGTTTGACGCTTTACCAGACCAGGTTTCCTAAGGTTTTCTCATATGCTATTTTCTGAAAGTTTTATAGTCCCAGGATTTGCATTTAAGTGTTTTCCATTGTGAGCTGATTTTTTAGGTTAAGTTAAGGTTAGGTTAAGTTAAGGTTCATTTTTTTAATATGGATGTCTGATTATTGCACTATAATTTGTTGAAAAGACTTATAGTCCTTCCTAGAATTGCTTTTGTATCTCTGTTAAAAATCAGAAATTTGTGTTTGTCTGTTTCTCAGTTCTTTGTTCAGTTCCATTGATCTATGTGTTTTTCTTCCTCTGACACCACACAGACTTGATTACTGTAGATGTATAAAAAGTCTTGAGATTGGATAAACTGATCCTCCACTTTATTCTTCCTTTTCAGAATTCCCTTAACTGTTCTGGTTACATTCCTTTCCATATGAAGTGTCTAAATCTATAGCAAAGTCTTAATAGATTTTGATAGAAATTGTTTTGAACTTAGGTATCCAGTTTATTGGGGGAGAATTGACATCTTTATTATGTTGAGTTTTCCAATCAATGAATGCATGAAATCTCCAGTGAAACAGTCTGAGCCAGAAGATTTCTTTTTGGGATATTTTAAATTACAAATTCTAATTTCTTAATAGTTGTGGGAATAAATACTTAATAGTGTTCTCTATTTCATATTGAGTGGGTTGTTGTAATTTGTACTTTTTGAGGAATTGGTCCTTTTCATTAAATTGTCTAATTTATGTGTGCAACTCTGTTGTTTATATTTTCTTGGTGGATTAAGTCTATTATAATGTAATGTCCCTTTTTGTTTCTGGTAATTTTGTCTGATGTCTGTTCTGTCTGATATTGATATAACCACTTCTGTTACTTTTTACTGTTTGTATGGTATCTCTTCCCATCTTTTTTCTTTCAAGTTACAGATATCATTATATTTGAAGTGAGTTTCTCATAGGCAGCATATAATTAGGTCATTTCTACCTATATATCTGACAAACCTCTATCTTGTAATTAGTATATTTAGACCATTTACATTTAATGTAATTTTTGATATGTTAGGGTTAAATATGTCATTTTGTTTTTTGTTTTCCTTTGGTTATTTTTTTAAAATTTCTCTATGTTCTTTTTCTTAAGCTTTTTGTGAGTTATTTGAACATGTTTTAAAATTGCATTTTTTAAAAAGATTTATTTATTTTAGAGAGGGGAAGAGTGTGTGAGTGGGGGAGGGGCAGAGGGAGAGAAAGAATCCAAAGCAGATGCTACAGAGAGCAGAGCTGATGTGGGGCTTGATTGCATGACCCTGACATCATGACCTGAGCCCAAACCAAGAGTTGGATGCTTACTTAACCAACTGAGCAACCCATGTGCCTCAAAAATTGCATTTTGATTTATCTGTAATGTTTCTTGATTGTCTCTCTTTGTATTTTTTTTTTAGTCATTGCTTTAGTTATTGTGTTATTCATAAATGTATTTTTCAATGTTAAGTGTTCACATTTCCTTTATATATGAGGACCACATTAGATGGTATTAGAAATTTTGCTTCAGCTGTCAGAGTTGTTAGAAATGTCAAGATGTGAAGATGTACTTCTGTTCTGACTATATTTTCTTATCTCTTGATATTTCAAGATTCTTTTTTTTAATTGTTTTTGTTTAGTGAACTTCCTTTTGCCATTCCTTAGGATAGATTAGCTGGCAAGATTCTTAGTTTTCCTTCATCTGAGAATGTCTTGATTTCTTCTCATTTCTGAAGGATATTTTCACTAGTATAGAATTCTGAGTTGGTATGTCTTTCAACATTTGACAAGTGTGTGGTGTTTCCTTTGGCCTTCAATGTTTCTGAGGACACATCTCTGTCATTTAAATTTTTTTCCCCCCATGTATGTAGTGCATTGTTTATTTCTAGCTTCTTTCTTTGTCCTTAGATTTTTTTTTTTTAAGATTTTATTTATTTGAGAGAATGAGAGAGAGCATGAGAGAGGGGTGAGGATAAGAGGGAGAAGCAGACTCCCTGCTGAGCAGGTAGTTGGATGTGGGACTCCATCCAGGGACTCCGGGATAATGACCTGGGCCGAAGGCAGTTGCTTAACCTACTGAGCCACCCAGGCACCTATCTTTGTCCTTAGTTTTGAGAAGTTTGATTATAATGTGTTTTGGTATGGATTTTGCGGGGGGGTGGGGTATTTTGTTTGGTTCAGTTTATTGAATATGTAGGTTTATGGTTCTTGCTAAATTTGGGAAAATTTAGGCCATCATTTCTGGAATGTTTTTTTAGTCCTACCCCCTCTTTCTTTTGAAACTGATGGCATGGATGTTAGATCCCATATGTCTCAGATTCTTTCATTTTCTTTTCATCAATCTATTTTCTCTCCAATTTATACTCCTGCTTACTGATTCTTTTTCTCTGTCATCTCTATTGTGTTGTTAAGCTCATTCATTGTATTTTTTAATATAATTTTTTCTAAAATTTTTATTTTTTAAATCTTGAAAATACATGAATATGTGTATAAATCTTTATGTTGTTTTTCCTGAGATTTTCTGTTTCTGTGGAGACTTTTTTTTAAAGATTTTATTTATTTATTTCATAGAGACACAGTGAGAGAGGGAACACAGGCAGGGGGGAAGGGCAGAGGGAGAAGCAGGCTCCCGGATGTTCAGGGAGCCTGATGTGTGGCTCAATCACAGGACCCTGGGATCATGACCTGAGCCAAAGGCAACCGCTTAACAGCTGAGCCACGCAGGCGCCCCTGTGGAGACTTTTAAAAAATGTATCTCAGACATGTTCATAATTGCTTCTTGAAATATTTTTATGATAGCTGCTTTAAAAACCTTTCTGGAGGGGCGCCTGGGTAGCTCAGTCACTGCCTTGTCAGGAGGGTTGGGAATTTAGGCCCTCTTCCAGGTCTCTGCTGACACCAGCCTATGTGGGAATTGGAAGGGTCCTCTCTACTGCTCCCCACTAGCTTCCACTGTGATGAGTACTTGCTTGGTCTCATCCCATAGGTCTGGGAGGAGCATCTGGTTTGTGCTGGACAGAAGTGGGAGTTCTGGCTCTCCATCTGGCAGGGATGAAATTCTTAGCTCCCTACTTGGCCTTCTCTGACACAACTTGGGACGGGGCATGTGGGGGGTGGTGCCTAATTACAGCCTGCCAAACATGGAGGTTTACTCTCTCTACTTGGCCTTGCTGGTGGGAGTTGGGGTAGGGCCACAGTTACTTCTGCAGTGTTGGACTGGAGT